TGTGGAATATTGGTACGAATGAAGAAAATAAGATGGATGTATTTAGTTTATTCCTTGATGCTGGGAATAGAAATGAGGTGATTGCACAATATTTTATTGGAAGGTGCTTCGAAGTTGGTTGGAACACCAAGAAAAATTTGAAAAAGGCAGTTGAATGGTATAATAAGGCAATTGAAAATGGATCCACAGCAGCGGAACGAATACTTGGAGATTATTGTTATAAATGCCAAGAATATTCTCAAGCATTTAAATTGCTCAAAAAAGCGTTTGGAAAAGGAAATATATTGGCAATGCACAATTTGGGATTATGCTACAAACATGGCCGTGGAACAGATATCAATATGAGACGAGGATTTGAATTACTTAAACAAGCTGCCGAGATGGGAGTACCTAATTCACCATATGAACTTGCTCGGTGTTATGAGTATGCGGAAGGAACTGAAAAAAACTTGAAAGTTGCTTTCGGTTGGTATCAGAAAGCTTTAGATAATGGCCAAAAATGTCATGACGACCGAGAGCGTGTCATGGTTAAAATCATGAAGGAGCAATCTAACAAATAAATTAGAAATTATTTGCTAAACAAATGCGTTTAAAAGTTTTTAGCTTGCTATTAATACTTGCCACAAATCACTGATTTTGAATGTTTTAATGATAAAACTTTTTTTTTTTTTAAAAAAAAAAAGTCAACACATTAGCTAATTTATAAAGTCGTAAAATATACTTAACTTTTAATCTTGTATGTTTTAACTAATAAACATTTTCTTATTCATTACACATGTTGCGCCTCAGATGTATTCTTGCCCTAAAGGTCAACTGGCCTACCCAAGTAAAACCATAAATCTTTTTTACAAGTATTTTTTTAAAAATCTTTGGTGTGATGCAACTTTTCCAAATATATTCGTATCTCTTTCGCACGTAATTTAAAAGTTTGAAGAAAGTTTAAAAAAGGTTGCATATCACACCAAAGAATTTTGAAAAAAAACTTGTCGAAAAAGTTTACTGTTCTATCTGTGCTAAATTAAGGTCTGGATTAAGGTAAGGATGTAGGAATAATGTAGGCCAATCACTGCCGATCAATCGGTGCTGGCCAAGCAGTCAAATTCATTGTTGATACATTATGATTGCCATGTCATTAGGCATGCAAAATTAATTCACTGGTTTTCATATCATGGCAATATATCTTTCATTTGTACCAGGAATTGGTTTCTCTCTCAGACCTTCTATTATCCTGGATGGTAGGGTCGC